ATTACGGCTTTTTTACCCAGTCCTTCATACTTTGGGCCACAAAATCCATCTCACAGCTCGGCCCAATTTTCACCAAAAATTACCCTCTCAAGTACAGTAAAGATTTTTTAATGTGTTACATTAGGGTATTACACTAAAAAAAATATTTTTTAGTGTTACATTGGAGTATTACAGTTTGAAATTATACATTTGACCAAAACTTGCCAAGTACTTTTTGTACTCCTTTTGAAATGTTTGAAAAATCTCACATTTTTTTAGAATGTTTGAAAATTTTCATATTTTAAGTTATTTTTGTATTCTTTTTAAAATGTTTTCCAAATAAAAAAGATTTTTATATAAAAATTCATCCCAAATGTGATTCAACCTCACCTTTTTAGCACAAAAAAAAGAAAAAGAAAAAAAAGAAGGAACATAATAAAAATAAGGATATAACTATAAATTTAATTTTTAAATAATATGTTAAATCTACCCTTCCAAAATCAATAGGATTGATTGGTCTATAAAAAATTTCTTAGAATTGAATGGATCACCACTTAGGTCTATAAAATTTACACTTGAAATTCATACATGTAGTTTAAATATATACATACAAAACTTCTATGTTAATATGATTATGATTTTATGGTATTTATGATATATTTTGTAGCGATCCTGAATTTTTGTAAGTTATTATTTATTTATTTATTTATTTTTTATTATTATTACTACTTTATTTTATCTTTATTTTTATTAATTGTGTGGATACATGAGAATTTAATGTGATATTTAATTATATGTAATTAATCTGAATATTGATATATGGGCAAATTACACAAATAGTCCCTATAGTTTGGGCCTTGTGTCACTTTGATCCCTGACTTTCAATTGTGACACATTTGATCCTAAATTTTAAATCTTGTTCCAAATAAGGACAATTGAATTTACCATTGTTTAATTTCAAGGGCAAAATCGTTAATTTAATAAAATATAAACTAATTTAATAAAAATAAATATCAAAAAAAATATATTTTTCAATTTTTAAAAATTATTTTTATCTACCAAAGATAAAATATGGAAAATTGATAAAAATTAATTAAAATTACATGATTAATTTTTAAAAATTAATTTTACATGATCATCATCCAAACACATAATAAAAATTAATTTGGTAAAATAAATAAATAAATGTTTAAAAGATTTATCAATTTTACATAATTTTATTTTTAGTGGATAGAAATAATTTTTAAAAATCTAAAAATATTTGTTTGACATTTAATTTTGTCAAATTAGTTTATATTTTATTAAATTGATGATTTTACCCTTGAAAAATCTAATAATGTTTTCAATTGTCCTTATTTGGAATAAGATTCAAAATTCAAGATCAAATGTGTCACAATTGAAAAATCAGGTATTAAAGTGACACAAGCCCCAAACTATAAGGACTATTAGTATAATTCACCCTTGATATATTTATATTGTTTATAAAAAGAAAAAAGTATTTATATATTGATAAAAATATATATCATATTTATATTTATATATATTGTATTTATATTGTATTTGTGTAATAAAAACTTGTAACTTTTTTATGTAGATATATAAATATATATATAGGCCTCTAGGTTTCTTATACAATTTAGAGAGGAGCAGCCACGGGGTGAGAGGAAAGATTGAGAGAGAGAGAGAGAGAGATTAATCAAAAAAACAAAAAAAGTTCAGCCGAGAAATGGGAGACGGCGGGAAAAGAAAGGGGATAGGGGAGAAAGAAAAGATTAGGGCTCCGTTTGGTAAGCTTCTTAAATTATAATTGTACTTATTAATTTGAATGTGTTGTTTATTTTGAACTTTTAAATTATAATTCTACACCTATTTTTCAAAATTCAATTCAAAGCATAATCATTACTTTTCAAAACTCATAACCAAATACATAATTTAAAACTCTTTTCAAAACTCAATTCAAATCAATATTTTAATTTTTTAAATATGTAAATATTTTAAAAATATTTTAATTTCGTTAAGATTTTTTTAATTTTTTAATTTTGTTAAGATTTTTTTAATTTTTTAATTTCAAAATATTAAGATTTTAATTTTTAAAATTTCAAAATATTTTATAAAAATAAACTCAAACTCTATTTTACAAAAATATTTTTAAATATTTTAATTTTTTTTGTTATGTATTTGGTTATGATTTGAGTGTAGAGTTGTGAAAATAGTATGAAGTTTCGAGTTATGTGTTTGGTTATGAGTTTTAAAAATAATTTCTTAAAGCCTCGTTTGAGAATATGCTATTTTAGTAACTTTTTGACTTTTTACGAAAATATGTGCAAAAAAGTAGAGAGGTGATATGACAACTTTTAGTAACTTTTTGATTTTTTTGCTAAAATAGCCACTCCTCAAACAGTTTTATTTTATGTGTTTTGTTACGATTTGAGTGTTGAGTTTTTTTTAAATTTAAAATATTAACATTTTAAGTTATTTAAATTTTTTGAATATTAAAATTTTTACGATTCAAATTTTTTGAATATTTATTCTAATTTTTTACTTATTAATTTTTTTAGATTATTTAAATTATTTAAATATTTATGATTTAAATTTTTTGAATATTTATTTTGAAAAAAAATTATTTCTTTTGTAGTATTTTCAATTAAAAAATTGATTAATGTTATTTTCTGTTAATAATAAAATTTTTTAATTGAATTTTAAAAAGAGTTTGCTTATGAGTGTTGATCAGAATTTTCAATAGTGTGAAAGTAGTGTGTTTTGTTATGAGTTATAATAATTCAATTAAGTTTTGAAAACTCTTTCCAAAACTCATAACCAAACAAATTTTCTTACTTCACATGTCAAATCAAACTTTCAAAACTCAATTCTACATTCAATTCAAAACTCAGGTAGCGTTTGGTAGAGTTTTGTAAATGTGATTTGAGAATATGAGTTGTATTTTGAGTTTGTGTGTTGTGGAATTATGATTTGAGTGTAGAAAATTTGTTTGGTTATGGTTTTTAAATAGAGTGTTGAAATGTGTTTTGAATATGTATTTTGAATTATGTTTTGAAAGTTTGATGTGACATGTGAAATAAGAAAATTTGTTTGGTAATGTGTTTTCAAAATAGTTTTCAAAATTTAATTCAATCAATAATTTATTTTGAGTGTACACAACTCTTATATCGATATCCGTATTTTTTATCAACAGTAATAACCAAATTATATTTAAAATACTGAAATTAAAAATTGTTTTTTTTTCAATTAATTTTTTTCAGTAATTTGTGTTGTATAAATTTTTTTTCAAATTATTTTTCCATTTTAAAATAAATCTATGTCAATTATTTTGTGTCAATTAAATTTTTATATCAATTCATTTTTTACGCCTATCTTGTACAATACATTTTTAATTTTTGTTTTTAAATTTTGTTGAAGTCAATAACTTTTAAAAATACATATTAATAAAAATTAACATAGTTTAATAGATTAAAATACAAATCATATCGTAAACCTTATAAAATATTATCAATTTTTTTTCTCATTTATTACACATTATTAATTTATTAGGAAATGAGTACAAATCAGACCATTATTGACGGACCATCAGCACGCTCATATAATTGAATTCACCTCTAAATTTACTATTTTGTCCATCTCTATTTACATAGGAAGTGAACAAAATATAAAGGGTAATTTAGTAATTTCATGAACCTACTACCTATATACTATATACTGAGCCAAAAGAAAAGGGACATCATAGCTGTGTATATCAAATCACATGCACTTTTCTGAAAAACATTATTAATATTATAAAAAAATAATACATAACAAATTAAAATATAAAAATAAAAAATAAAAAACCAAGCTTCAGCCTTTTATAAATTCTGAAAAATCATTCTTCTAACCATACCATCTTCACCGTCTTTGATCCTTCTGAAGGAAGATTTCAACTTCACCGTCGACTGGTCTCAGCTCCATCAAGAACATTAATTTCAATTACAGGTTAGTTTCGTATTATCTTCGCATCTCGTATTTTATTCAGACTACCTTTGGTAGTAAAACACCAGTAGCTTTCGAAGAAGAAGAGGAGCAGTAGCCTTCGACGAGGTAAACCGGGTGGTCAACCGGCCGGTCATCCCATTCCAGTCGATCAGTTTTGTGGCTGCCGATCTGTTCATGTTTTTCATATCTGTCTAATCATATGTGTTCCATTTTTTTACACTGACATTATATTATTTTTGATATATTTTCTATACATTTTTGTACATCATTCGATCAGTTTTGTGACTGCCGATCTGTTCATGTTTTTCATATCTGTGTAATCATATGTGTTCCATTTTTTTACACTGACATTATATTATTTTTGATATATTTTCTATACATTTTTGTACATCATACTATTTTCGATACATCCCATCTCAGTCCAATTCGCACTCAGTTTCCCTATCTGTTGCCGATCTGTTCCTTTTTTTTCATATCTGTTCCATTTTTTCACACCAACATCGTACTGTTTTTGATATATTTTCCATACATTTTTCTTTCACTTTTGCAATCATCATGCTAAGAACAAAACGAACCAGACCCGAACCTGGTGAATTCTCAAACCCTGTTCAACATCAACCACAACAACAACAACAACATGACAATCCAAATAATGATTTTTAACGTATCATCATGAACAAGCCTATTCACATTTTATTGATCGACCAATTGTTACGGGGAGAAATGTAAAACTACCTTCTCAATATGATTCGCTCTTACTTGGTAAATTAGATACAATGGGATGGCTACCTTTAACTAATTTACCAAATAAGGTATATCCCCGTATTGTACGATTATTTTATGTTCACTTGACAGCTGGTGACCAACAAAATGAACCGTTCAGTCTGACCTCCTATGTGAAAGGGAAAACAATCACACTCATTCTCCGTGCTTTCGCACAAATTATTGGAGTTCAAACAGGAGATTTACAATGCTATTTTCAAAATGAGTCCGCCTTAGAACGAATGTTTGGTGATGTCACTGAAGAGCTTCTGACTTCACTGCAAAGCGAGGATCATGGGTAGGCGCAAATGGGTAGGAGTGCGCATAAAAAACCTTCGCCATTTCTTATCCTTAAACAGTGTCAGTGCCTTAATGTACTGCACTGGTGGTATGTCCCCAAGCTCTAGTAATGCATTTTGACATGCATCAAGAGAGTAATCATCACCACCTGCACTTACAGCCTCTGTCTCATTTTCTCGTGCACGTGAATGTCCTGTTTTTGCTTGTACATAGGATGTGAAAGCTGCGCACACATCATCAAACCCACTTGACCGTGACTTTTTAGAACGACCACTGTCAGTCTGGCTGGTTGTAGGGCCCCTCTTGTGACTTTTGCCCTTTGATGGATCCATGTACTCATCCCCATATAAGTCAACAGGAATTGCCTCAGCAGCGTTACTCCCACCAGCATTACTCCCACCAACATCAGGGTTCCAAAATTTATTTAACATGTCATCTTCTTCTTCTGAGTCAAGGGCTCCTTGTGTGGATGCACGAGATAAGGCCCCTGTGGCACAACAATTTTCAACAATTTCTGCCATTTCTTGAAAATATTCAAATCCTTTTGTCCTAAACTTCTTCACATTTCTGTTGGCCTACAACAACTACAAATAAAGAATTAAGCACTGTATGTATCATGAAATCTTTAAATTAAAATTATTTAATAGTACAGATTAATGAACAACCTTATCCCAAAATTCATCAGGTGCAACAACAGTGCCTACAATTGGATCCCATCCCAGACCAGTCTGTGCCTGGAGTCGCTTAAATGTCTGATAATCAGCTTTCAATCGCTGATATTTTTGGCGCACCTGTGTTGCTGTATACCGAAATCCATACAGATTGTGCAACTGATTTGCATAATGATTCCAATGCCTAATTGTCCACGAAGTAGTACGGCCAGTTGTTTGATTTTTTCTAACCTCATCTCTCAACATATTTATTAATTTTGTTTCACTTCTGGCCGTCCACATTTTTGTTTCTTGGTTGTCATCAGAATTATTTTCATCCATCTATAAACATACAAATGAAATTTAAACTAGTCTGGGGTAGATATACAAGACAAACAGATCATAACAGAGCAAAATGATTTCAAAGAGAACACAGATAAAAAAAAAATGCAGATGATATTATTTAAAGGAAAAAAATAGCGTGACAGATTACTTCAATTTAAATAGCAGAAATATAACCACAACTAATAAAAAAAAATCAGGTAACATTATCTTTGAATGGTAGGAGAAAACCAGTAAAAAAGATGTAAGGAAAATGGGACGGGTAGAAAATGAAGTAGGAAAAAAACCAGTAAATAAACCAGTGAAGTTGAAAAAGGGATGGGTAGGTCGACCGGCCGGATGACCCCGGGGAAGACCGGCCGGGTGTCTAGGTACAAGTCGTTCACAAGTTCTTTTCTTGCAGAAGGTTCAAACAGCTCATAATTGAAAACAACAACCGATCTGAAATGACAAATAGGCGTCAGAAATTATGAGAAACCATTTGGGAACTGATTTTAACTTCTCAAAAATTATTTATATATAACATATTCAGATCGATTTAGCAGCTTACTGCTATTCTTCTTCGCAAAAGGTGAAACAATTCAAGAAAATAGAAAACATCTTCAAATAAAAAAAATAGTCCCTTACACTTCTCAGAAAATATTTGAGAACTGATTTCGTATAAAATCATTTGCAGTTGAAGGATATATTTACCAGATTAGTGGGACTTGAATAATTATCGTCGGTGATGAAATTTGTATACTGACTTAAGGTAGCACTGTTTCTTCGTCGGATTCGACAATAAATTTCATAAATTTGACCTGAAAGAAAAATAAAATAAAATTAGGGATGAATTCTCCAAATCATTTTCGTATAACAAAATATGTAAATAAATTTGTGAGTTCTTTTACGTCGCAGTCGTCGTTGTTTCGTTGCCCGTAATAAGAATCTTCCACAACGCACAAATCGTAAGGAACTCGATTTGTGAAAGATGATACCAGTATAGAGCGGGTTGGGTGGATTCATTATTTATAAAATCAGTCTTCTCTGTGAAGCCCACCCGTGATGAATCTGAAGTGCCTGTGATGAATCTGAAGTATCTGAAGTACTGATGTTTGATAGACAAGCCTACCCGTGATCAATATAAAGGACTGATGTTTGATACAGAGATGAGCTTCACGTGAATATTTCAGAGACGATAGAATATTTCAGAGACGATGGAGACGACATAGAAGGACATGGAAGAATGCACAAGCGCTGAAAGTAGAGATACAACCTGCCAAACAGGTTTTCATACTATAATTTGAATTCATACGCGGAAATGTATTTTGAGTGTTCTATCCAAACGTGAAGCGCGAGTTTATATGTTGAAAACTAATTTGAAAATACAACCAAACAGACCTTGGTATTTGGGTTTCGTAGAGTAGAGATGTCGCCCTGAAACAGAGAGAGAGATTAACCCTTTCAAGCTGTTCCATCAATATTTTTTTATTTTTTGGTAAATTGTAACTTGGAAATGATAAATACATAAATTTATAAATAAAAAAATACTTTGTTTCAGTTTTCTGAATTTAATATTTTGAGGAGTGTTTTGGAAAGTTTGTAAAAAGTTGACTTTTTGGATTTTTGACTTTTTTGGTGGCTTTTTTTGGCAAAAAAAGTGGGTTATTTTGGATAAAAAAGTTGAATTTTTTGGCTAAAACAGCTAAAAAGTCAAAAAAACTAGCTTTTTACCAATCTTCCCAAAGTGTCCCTGAAAATTGAATTTTTTATTTTTCATATTTTTTATTTTTAGTGAACATTTTTAAAATTTTAAGTAATTTTTTAAGATATACTTTACTTAAATGTATCTAAATAGTAAAATATCTGTGAAAAAAATATTTTAAAAAATTAATAAATGCGTAAAATATTAAATTTTTATATTTTTTTGATATTTAGAGTATTTTTTAAAGATTTTTTTTTATAAATGTTATACTTTTTAAGTGTGTTTATGTTAGGTACATCTAAAAATTAAAAATAATTGCTTAAAATATTAAAAAAATTATTAAAAATATTAAAATACAGAAAATAAAAAAATAAAATTTTCTGAAAACCAGAAATGTTGTCAATCATATTTTTTTTTAATTTATAATTATGAATTATGAATGATAATTATGAGAGGGTTTTTTTTTTAATTATGAATTATGAATGATAATTATGAGAGGGTTTTTTTTTTTTAATTAATAAACTGAGGCACATTAAATTTGTATAAATTTTGTATATTTCTATTTGAATTATATAATACTAGCGAACGCATGTTTAAAAACACTCTTAATAAAATAAAATTTTAAATTATTTGTAAGAAAGTAAAATGTTATCCAGTCATATGAATGCTAGCAAAAAAAAAAAATAATAATACAAATTTCAAATAAGCCCCTAAATTCGGCTGACCGTATGTTTCTAATCAGATTTAATAAATCAACTCAAGTTTCATTTTGTATTAGGATGGTACTATATGAATCAATTAGTTTACTAATACTAGTTATAATCTTATTATTAACCGCATTCATTATATAAATTATAAATATAAAAAATATCTTAAATTATGTCATATCATTAATTGATATATTAATTAGTACATATAACATTATTATTTTTATATTATGTTTGTGTATTTGATGGCCAACAATGACATTAATAGTAATTCCTCTCCAAAAAAAAAATGACATTAATAGTAATGATGACTACAAATTATGTCATATCATTAATTGTGTGTTTTGTTATGAGTTATAATAATTTAATTAAGTTTTGAAAACTCTTTCCAAAACTCATAACCAAACAAATTTTCTTACTTCACATGTCAAATCAAACTTTCAAAACTCAATTCTACATTCAATTCAAAACTCAATTTCACACTTAATTCAAAACTCAATTCAACACTCTATAACCATAACCAAGCAAATTTTCTACACTCAAATCATAATTCCACAACTCACAAACTCAAAACACAGCTCGTACTCTCAAATTATATTTACAAAACTCTATCAAACGCAACCTAGGGTTTTGTTTTTGTGGCTCCATTAGTTCTTTAAATAATTTTTTGATTTTCAAAAATAATTGTGATTGCAAAACTCACTTCCCTTGATTTATATTTAATTCGTTATTTTTATTTATTTATACTTATTTGATGTTGGTTTGATTTTGTATTTGCATATAGATGATGGATTGATTTTAATTATTTTGATTAGTTGTGTATGCCATGTTTAGGGTTTTTATATGGATTTATTTTATGGTTGTGATCACACTCATGGGTATATGAAATTAAAATAAACTTGGAATCCATAGATAAATTCCTTACACTCCACCATGACTCCATTGATTGTTGTTTTATTTGAGTATTGGTGAGAAATAGTGTATAGAAAAAAAGTGAGGATTATGAGATTTATTTAAATGCCTTAGACTTGACGTTATTATGTTTGTTGTCATAAGTAGATGAGAGATTGTGTATATATATATATATATATATTTGTTGCATTTCTCATTAGTAGACAAGTGTTTTGATTTACGTGCGTATATATATGCTAACCATCTGGAGAATGTGGTTCAAACTCGGGACAATATCCCCGTGCAAGTTTAGCTTCAGAGCGATGTTAGGTATATGGAAGGCACATGGAATATATGTTTAGGCCGGAAGTGAAGGGCCAAAGTGGTGGAGTTAAGGTACAAAAAATTAAATATGAACTTATATGTATAGTTTGAATTATATTGATTTGTACATCTTGAAACAAATAGTAATCAACCTCAATAAATTATGAAATTTGAGCAGATGTATGTATACGTGATTCTAGACAATTTTAATTTTTTATTAAAAAAATTGATTAGAACTTGTAATTGGATGATCTTGGTTACAATATTTTTTATTCATTTTAGAAATGCAGACTTTAGATGCTGTTTTAACCCACAAAACGAGCTTATTTTTACTTGTTTCACGTAAACTAAAGTAAAACATTATTATGCACACTTTTCGTGTTCAGAATTTTTTTCAAAAAAATCATCTTAGGATAGTTTCTTTCTGTTTTCAATTTCAAATTTTTCAATTGAATTTTGTTTAGGATTTTCTATTAAGTTTTTTTCTCAACCTGTTCAGTTTCTACTAAATTCGTTCATATTGCCTTTTAGTAAATTTGATCCTATACAACTTTTGTTCTTTGAGTTTTGGTCAATTCGAATTATTTAAATATGAAACGGTACATTTTTATACTTCTTTAACAAGTTACTTATGATTAAATTATACTAACTTTATTTTTTGCAGGATGGTGGGTCTTACTAACTTTTTATGTAGGGCTGACCCACCATATTTTTATTTTTATTTTGTTTATTTTATATTCAATTTATATTTCGTTGTGTACGAGTAAGAAACTAAATGCCACCGTATCTCAGGAAACTACCAATTTATCTTGGTGGGGATAGAACTACTTGTCTTATCCCGTAATAAGAATTAAATATACTTTTGTTTGTGTCTGATACACACGTGGGTGTTAAATATTGTACTCATACCAATATACCTATACACTGACCCGTTTTGTGACTTGGCATCTCAAGTGCGTTCTATTTGAGCGTAGTCGAACTTTCTTGGCATGATTAGTTGGGGTTATAGTGATGACGTGGAATAACTATAGTTGTTGGACATGTCATTTGGACTTCTTTAGTTTTCTTGAGTTTAGAATTGATATTAGTTTATATATATATATTTTTTATGACCTTAGTATTTTGATAATTTGGCATGGTTTGTAACCTTATATTAGTTAAGTTATTTTGACTATTTATTGTTACTTTAATGTTCGAGGTATTGGTTAGTTATTAATTTATGGCGGATGGTTTGGTTGGCGTTTTGTTAGTTTTTTTTAATCCCTTGTAATCTTTTGAGCATGGAATTTACTTAAACCTTATGGAGACGAGAACGTTTAGTTTTCTTATTTCACCCCTAAGATTTGGATGATAGAATATTAATTGGGATTTAGTCCTAATTTAATATTTAATTGTCTAAATTTTAGGGTGTGACATATTTACCGAGAGATCACATGATAAAAAAAGGGTAACTTACAAATACATCCCTGAGATTTGATAAAAATATGAAT